TAATCTCGCATCGATGGCTTTTTTACAAAGACCTGTTGAATTATTGATTGTATTATATTGGGTAACTATAATCATTATCAACTGATTAGCAAAATTACCCGGCAAATTTCCTAAAACGTTATTTGCACATAATTTCAATCAGAATGTTTTCTACTTGTGCTCGTTTGATTCGAAAATCGTCACCTGTTGTTTTAAATTATTTGACTTTATCAACTGCGCAGTCAGGGCGTTTAACTTTATCGAAACTGTCTAGAAATTTCTCATTGTCAGCTGTTGAAAATTTTCATACAAGTCGTTCTTCATCGCATTGCTTCACACCGGTTAAAATGCATAAGCGTAATTTCGCTAAAATGGCTAGCTTCGAAACGAATGCAATATGAATTTGCTAAAATATATGAACTGGGCACTCCCGTAGCTGGCAATTTCTTCCAAGCCGAAAACGATGATTACGTGCCTAAATTATATGAGAAATTGGGTGTAAAGCCCGATCCACCACAGGATCCCAAAGCAAAAGGAGCTAAAGCAGCGGAAAAACCAAAAGAAACTAAAGCAGAAGCTCCTAAAGAAACCAAAACAGAGGCTCCAAAAGAAGAACAGAAAGCAGCTGCACCATAAAACTAAAAATACCACGGTCATATGAACCCACATAAATTTCGACTTATATAATTTTCAAACAATTCCATTTCCATTTAATTTTCTTTTCGAATTATCTAAAGTACCATTTCATTTAATAAAATAAACTCAAACGCATTTCGGATATTTTCACAACAAAAAATATATCTTGTTTTGCTTTTAGTGTCTACAAAAAAACCAGCGTAAAGTTCTTGAACCCGTTCTTTTGCAGGACGTTGTACTAAGAATTTTATCATCTTTGAAATGTGCGGATTTTTACTGAAGTCTTAAATCGCATGGAAAATTGTTTATCAGTTTTGGTAAGACCCACGTAGAGTCTTTGGCGTCTTTCGAAAAACAATGCTTTCTTTGGGAAAGGCTCCTGTTGTCGCCACTCCAAATCATCCTTTCACGTTCAATTTCACAAAGCAAGCAGATCTGCCTCAGAATCGATAAATTCGCGTGAAGAAGAATATTTTTCAGTTTAAAATTGAAGCCATGCATAGTGGACTTTGATACTATCGTTGGAAGCTTGAGTGATTCGGAAAAGCACGTAAAGGATATCTTCTCACCAGTAATAGGGAGGGGATTTAATAACAAGTCGCTAGAATGACACTCGAAAAATCAGACAGAAGTGTCATTAGAGTGAAATGTTTGTATCATTACAACCGGTTGTATTAAACGCTGGCTCTGCGTCGGATGTCTCAAAGCGCTTCCAGACAGATTTTTTCAAAAATTTTTTGCATTTAAAACAACTAGGTTAATATAGATTTAGAGTTCCACAACGATTACAATAAAATTACTGCTCTGCATTGTTCAAGTAGGTCTTTCTTCTCTAGTATTTCTGAAACATGACTAATACTGGATTTCGTAAACTTAAATTTGCTTAATTTTTAATAATCACAGAAAACTAGCAATAAAATAATTATAAGATGAAATATGAAAGGTTTAATATTACCAGATGAAGTGGTAAAAAAAAGAAAAAAATGCAATTCCTATGAGATGTGCCCCACGTTTAATAATGTACATATGTTATTTAGGAGTTCGTTGGTGAACTTAGTGCGTCTATCAGATTTTAAGATTTTGAAGTCGCAAATTTTAGGATAAATTTTTCAACAATTATTGTCGCTATTGTTTTAGCACCCTTTCTTGGAATGGGATGAGCTATAATAAATTATTCCAACTCATAGCGACCGACCGGTGTCAATTGATATTATTTCAAAACTTGTTTATTTGTAATTTGTTGTTTTTCCTTGGTGTGCACTGCTTGTTTGTTTGCTAAACACATCGTACAGCCGTTCACAAAATTTTTTATCATTTTATACACTTTGTTCCACACATAATGCTTAAGTTTGTCTAAGATTCTCTGATGGGCTTTATATAAGATTACTTGAAATTGCTCATTGTAAGCTTAATTTTGTTCAAATATGTCAAATTTGTTTTTAAATTCACTTTCTTTTATATATTCTTTTGTTCTATTTTATGTCCATTTCCTTTTTACTTTTAAGGATTTTGATAATATCAAATTTAATTTTTTTTTAATTGTTGACATCAGAAGTAGATATCCAATTCCAATAGGTAAAGTTGATGAAATTTTCATCGGGGTATGCTATACTAGCTATTTTCAGCTTCAATATTATTTTCCTTTGATTTTTTCGTCTTGTTACTGCGTTTATTCTTTTAGGTATTATATCTTTTAAAGAGTCAGAATTTATTTTTATTTGTGATAATG